TCAGCTGAGATCGTGAGCGGAGTGTAGAGGCTTGTGGGCTCGATCTGATAGGTAGGTCAAAAAGTACTGTCTCTCGAGTCGGCCATGTAAGTTGTTGGCTTATGGTGTCAGTCGCATGAGTGATTTGAATCGTCTTGGCTATGATCATGTTTGATCTGGCATGGAGTGAGACTCATGTTGACAATTCAAGAAAGATTAATACTTAGTTATTTACAAGCTATAATAGTGGCTCCCTTTCATTCAAACTCGGTTGGCTGAGTAAGGGTGAAAGTTGAACAATCGTCGGTTAGCGACTTTCGAGGTGCATTTATGAGAAAAGCGACGGGTTGCTGTCATGGAAGTCGAGCTGGTCGCCTGGAAGCAGAGTGACAGGAAGTGGCACTGAGAGTTGGAGACTCAATAGAAAATGACTAAGGGGCTCCAAGCGCATTGCAACAAAGCAGTCGGTTACGATTGCTAAGCTTAAGGAGGAAGTCGGCCACCTTCAGCACGACATCCTCGAGCGGGATGACAGGATTAGCTATCTGTCTGAAGAGGTCGAGGTCGAGAAGCATGATAGGCTTAATGCTTAGGAATGTGCTCGGACGGATCGCGTGGCTGCTCAGAGATTTAAGGTCAAGCTAGAGGAGCAGCAGCAGGCTAATAAGGATCTTAGGGAGGAGAGTGTCCAGGCTGCTCTGCGAGCTGAGCAACACGAGTGATCCGTCGCTAAGGTCCAATCTTCACAAGCTTGCCTCGCTTTTCTAGAGTCCAAGGCCTATCGGGGGGAAGTTGTGAAGAAATGCCGAGATAGCCCCCTAGGCAAGGTAGAAGTGGCTCTAGATTGCAAAGTCATCATTGACTTCCTGCTACGACAGATCCCTCTTGAGTCTTAACCGGGCTCGGACCGTCTCCATTACCCCTCCCAGGTCGCTAATTGCCTCGACATTTTGAAGGAGATAGAGATGAAAGGAGGCGAGCTAGTGGTGGATGTGAAGAATGAGGATGAGGAAGGTGAGGAGTCGGCAGAAGGCTCTGAAGTGGATAGTTGGGATACCCAGCCGGAGGGTGATCAAGACGAAGAGGACACCCCTGCTTCTCCTCAATCGACTCCCACTCCTGAGCCTAGTTCCGTGCTTCCCAGTCCTACTCTGGATCCAAGTCGATCTCCATGAAGGCTTCATGTATATGTACTTTTTATTTTACCGATGTAAATATCGATGTAAATATTTTTTTGATATATGAATAGAAAGTCAAATTTTTGCCTTCTCAATTTTTGTATCTTTCTTGCTTGCATTTGTCTCATGCTTGAGTCCATAATTGTTATAGGGTTGAGGCATCCTAGCCGTTACGGCAAATGGGGCGACTTGACTTCATGCCTTATTTATTGAATATGATCACAAGATTCTAAAATGTGTGCCTTGGGCTTATGAACATGCCAAGGTCTTGCTGCAAACATTTTAGGTATAAATATTTGCCTTTATTAATTTGAACTGCGTACCTTTGAGTATCCATTGGGTCTTTGGGTTGAGACGACTCGGGCTCGCACCTTGGATTTACTCGCAATGACACCAAGGTCTTAGGGTATGTGCCTTGGGCATAGGAAGATGTCAAGGTCTTTTAGCCGACGTAGGTCGAGTTGATATGCCCTGGTTTTACTCATGAGTTGAAGCCGATCGAGTTGAGGCGTGCCTTGGTTTTACCCTAGGAGGGTACCAAGGATTTTTGTTGATCACGTGCCTTGGTCTGACCATGAGTAAGTGCCAAGGTCTTTTGAGTATAATCCGATTGAGTCGAGGCATATATTGTGTTTACCCCAATAGGGTACCAAGGGTTTTTGTCAATGACGCGCCTTGGCCTTACCTTGAGTAGGTAGTAAGGTATTTTAAGTTGAAGCTAACTGAGTCGATGATGATCGATCGATGAAAGCTGCACATAGATATGCACATAGATATGCAGGAGGAAAAAAATATTGTTTGAAGATAGTAACATTAATTTAATTACCTCGGGGATTTTATGTGCCTTGAGCTTAGACATGAAAAAATGCCAACATCTCTGCTGAGGTAAGCCGGCTTCTTAGCAACCCCCTTCCTCAGATCCTTCTTGTTGGCTCTGTTTGGTATGGGGTCGGTTCTGGAGGGACCCTTTGTTGTTTCCTCCCTTGGCAAGGGGTTGGTCCTTGTCGCTGTCTCAGCATCGATAACATTGTTGTTGCTGTTGCCGCTGCTTTAGCTGCCCTACCCGCCTTCTTGTAGGCTCAGGCGTCTTGCACATCCATGTGCCCATGGGCCTTAGCCATTAGCTGCTCATAGCTGGTTACTCGTTTCCTAACTAGTGAGTTAGCCAACTCATTGCTCTCCAGGGCTGTCACGATGGCAGACATCGCGACCGCACTGTCAGGATCATCGACTTCTAGTCTTTTAGCCTGAAACCTCTTGAAAAAGTCCCTGAAGCTCTCTCTAGCCTCTTGCCTCATCTACATTAAAACATGGGAGGCAACTTTCGACTTGGTGTTGGCTAGGAAGTGGTGCACACACTTCTAGTTGAGCTTCTCAAAGATGTTGATGGACTTCTTGAGCAAGGAGTTCCATTATAGCTTGGCGCTTCCCGATAAAGTGATAGGGAAACAACCTACAAATGATCAACTCCGGTGCCTATAGAATGATCATATCATAATAATTCTGAGCATGCTCAAATAAATCTCCTTCATCTTTATACTTCTCCACACGAGGGATCTTGATTTTGTCACAAGTAGCATTCATGATGTTGTCGATAAGGGGGGGGGGGTGATTCCCCCGCACATTGGGCATCAGTGCTTAGGCTGAAGGTCCAGTCAATATCCAGATGCAAATTTAGTCGTCGAGGGACATAGAGCATTATGAGGAAGCCGGAGTCTACGCGATGGCCACCCCTGTGGTGTACTCTCGGCTACCATAACCGAAACTAGGACTCTCCCCTGTTGTTTTTATGTACTGCTAATGTTGTCGAGAAGGGGCTGTAAAGCGAGTTTGGTAGCAAGGCGGGGGAGAGGTGTGCTCAGCTTGGTCTCCTTGTAGTCCGACCTGCGCGCGGTACCTAGGTAGAGGAGGGACAAAGGGCTGGCTTGTCGGAGGTGGAGGAACAAATGATGTGGTGGGCTATTGGGGAGGAATTCGACTGAGGAGCTCATTGGTGAAAGTAGCGAGCTGCTACTGAAAAGACTGAGTGATCCTCTGAGTGGATTCCTCCAACTGGGCCTGAGTGACCTAGCTTGCACATGATTCTTTAGGGAGTTGGACGAAATTTCAATTATGACGCTCAAAACCAAACATCTTGTATGAAGAAGAATAACAGGGCCCCGTTGTGGGTGCCAAACTGTTGATGCCGGTTATCAAACAAGGGGTTTATTTGTAAATTAAAGTAGAGTTAGGGTCCTCAAACTCCCCAAGAATGACTGTCTCGGAGATCGCTTTACTTCCGCTACACAGCGAAGTAATTGTAAGAGGGCAAAGTTGGGTTCTCCGGTTGTTCCTCTGATGATCAAATCAGTGTTTGAACTTGAGTTGGAAAATATAAGAGAAATAGTGAGAGGAATTGCTCAGAGTTGCCTTCCTCCCAGAATAAGTTACCTCATACTATGCAGCTCCCTTTTATAGCAAATCGGAAAGGCATGAAGATAACTGTGGCCAAGTCTAGGCAGGCAGCTGACTCGGCAGATGTCTCTACAGGTGTCACCTACTGTAATGGGTGAGTCACCTTTGATTGGATGTGAGAATGACTGAAGGGGTCGGTGAGTGATGAGCCATGAGGACTTGCAGCACCATTTATGATGAGGAGAGGCAGACCAGATATATCATATATATATCTTTATCCAAAAATTATAAACAACCCCTTTAAAATTTGAAAATTATTAACAACTCTTTAAAATTTTAAAAATTCAAAGATACACATGAAAAATATGAAAATTACAAAAAATCCCTAAAAATAAAAATGAAAAATAGCACCCTAAAAATCTTAAATTTGCAAATAGTGCCCTAAAAACATGAAAAATAGTAAAAGAGAATGTTCAAATTAGAAAATTACCAAAAACCCTAGAAAAATTAAAATCTCAAAAAATATCAAAAGTATAAAGAACCTCTCTAAAAAATTAGAAAAAACCCCGTTAAAACCAAAAAATTACAATCAACCTCTTGAAAATTATAATAATTATAAAAAAATCTCTAAAAAAAATATAAAAATCATAAACTTTAGTTATTTAGGATTTTTTGCCAAATGTTATTGAGGGTTAAGTGAAAAAAAATGAAAAATATATCGGGTTATTGGGATGTATTCTACCGCTCGTATGATTATTGTCCTCACTTCTCTTATCATTGTTTTCTGTGAGTTTGCTCTCTTCGGTGGAAACTAATATAGATGGAGTTTTAATGCCTAGTGTGAATAGATTGGAATTTGAATGGTTTAATTGGAGATAGATCCGAATATGTAAAACTAAATATTTATTAGATGGAGAAAAAACTATATAATTTTGAAGGTCATTAGAGGGAAGGGCCCGTGCAACCATAATTGTCTTTTATAAGAGTGGATTGGTGGAGAACAATACTTCGGCAAATATTTTAATAAAGTAACAAAAATTATGTTACTTTCTCATTCTTAATTAATTAACTTATTTACTACAACAAAAAATTATCGGATGTTGGAAGGCTACTATATTATCTCTTTATCGGATGTTGGAAGGCTACTATATTATCTCTTTATGTTTCATTAGCGTAATTAATTAATTAATTAGATTATAATATTATTAAATAAGTTAGAAGTATTTTGAGAAATTAAAAGTTTTGACGTTCATATTTCCTTTTATAAATAGTATAGGTATAGTTTTCTTCGTCCCACGATCATTGTAAAAAAAAACATTGGCTACTGCTCAACAACAGTGTCAATTTAAAAGTTTTAAAAAGATAATCACTACTTGTGATCCCCAGGAAACCAGTAATCCTAACTGCTAGCGATGACATAGAATCTGCTGCGTATCGGATCCGTTTACTCGAAAGTACAATCCTCACCAGTATTTTGATAATCGTCAAAAGAAACTCACAGACGATCGAACTCTCATAAACTCCGGATGGGTCCCACCCAATAGAAATCCAAGTCCTCGTCGGCGTCGATACTCCGAGTCCAGGTTCGAGTCCCTTAAGTTCGCACCCGCATATATTCCCCAAGAGGAGAAGGGGTAGGAGAGAGGAAGTACTTTCGAATTTGGGTCTCCGTTCAATCTCTCTCTCTCTCTCTCTCGCCTTTCTCGCTCCCCTTTTCCCCTTCGCTCCCCAAACTCCGATCTCTCTCTCAAAAACCCTTGTCGCACTATCGGATCCGCGACCCGATAATCACATTGTGTCCCCGGCTCCATTGCATGGACTCCGACTCCACCCTCTCCAGCAACAAGTAACATAAAAAAAACCCCTTTTTTCTTTCAATTGGCTGTTGTTTCTCCGTTAACTGCGGCCGTTATCTCTAGCGATTTCCGTCTGCAGGCATCATCTCTTCATGGATGACTCTTCTTCTTCTTCAATGCTGTCCTGTGGTGGATGGGATTCTAACCAGCAGAAGCGTCAGCGTAGCGTTAGTTCTTTTCTATAATTTCGTTGATTTTTAGGGTTTTGTTTTCTTCAATTAGGTTTTATTTTGTTAATTGTTGGATATACGTGGATCTCTGACGGAATTGAGGAATTTTGGAGGAGAAAGATGAGATTTTTATAGATTTTTTATGCCTTTTCAGTTTGGTTAGGTTAGACTATGTGAGGTTCTTGAACCCCGATTCATCTTTCTGAGCCCATCTCTGGCCATGACTGAGAGTTTTGGAGAACTTGAGAAGAAGTTGACAGAGAATGAAGATAAATTTGAGAGAGAATTGTGAATATCAGTTGTAATTGGAAGGAGAATGGAAGATTTTTATTATCCAACAACCTGAGTATTTTCCTTTACATCTTCCCATTTATACAAGTTCAATTCCCTTCCGTGCACGTGCACCAACAGTACCTTTGCATAACAGAAATAACAGAAAAACAGCAAACAGCAAAGAAACAGCAAACAATGAAAAACAGCAAACAGCCACTACTAGTATTTATTACAAGTTCTGGAACTCTGAAAGTTTTGCATAAAACTCCCTTGTCAGTTCAACCCTTGCGTATCAGTCCAACCACTTCTTCATTCTTCGACTGCACCCTCAGGTTGATTCAATTCCAGCTGTCTTAACCTTTGCTCCTGACAATTCCCCCCACTTAAATTTGACCTTGCCTCAAGGTCAAAAGTGGGAAACCTCTTCACCAAGTCCCAGTATGGTTCCCAAGTTGAATCAGTTGGGGGCCTTTGCTTCCACTGAATCAGAACCTCAGAGACCAAATGATTTCCCTTAATGATCGTTCTTCTATCCAAGATAGCTTCAGGTTCATCAATTATTTCTTCCACATAACTAGGCAGGTCACTTTGTAAAATGATATCAGTACCTACCCTCTTCTTTAACTGGGAAACATTGGCTCTTCATGACCCAAATGTTTGTTTCATGGCAAATGAACATGAGGTAATATCCGAGGCCGAAAGTGAATCTTTCTATATGCAATGTGATATAGCTATGGCTTTAGAAGAGTTGAATTTTGAATTTAAAAGAATGTCTAAGGAATACTCTTCTTTCAAAAAATTACATGCCTCTTGTGATATTAAGCTAGAACAACTAACAACCTCTCTTGCTCTTAAAGATGAATTGCTAGGAGATCTCGATTTCGAGAATAAGCAACTAAGATCAAAGATTGAAAAATTAGAAATTGAGGGTTGTAGGACTAGACCCACTCATGCTTATGCCAACTACAATCATCATGGTAGAAATAGGTTTCGTGGTTCTAACATTCGTACATACAAAAGAAATTTTGTATGCACCTATTGTATGAGACATGGACACATTTCTACTCATTGTAGAATTAAAGACAATGAAGATTTTTATGGTTTGATATGGGTACCCAAAGGTACCAAGACTACTAACCACCAAGGACCCAAGACATGGGTACCTAAAGCTACTACACCTTCATCTTCTTCTTTTGTAGGGAACGTCGCGGCAACGACGTAAGGAGATGTGGTACCTTGATAGTGGTTGCTCACATCATATGACGGGCAACAAAGAGTTATTTGCAACCCTATCAAGGATTGAAGGAGGCAATGTCTCCTTCGGTGGAGGTGAGAAAGGCAAAATCGTTGGTATTGGCTCCATTGGTAAGAAACCCTCACCCATAATAGAAGATGTTTATTTAGTAAGTGGTTTGAATCATAATCTTCTTAGTATTAGTCAATTGAGTGATAAAGGTTTTGATATTTCTTTTAAACCGGACAAATGCATCATTAGTATGGATGGAAAAATTGTTTTCATTGCAAATCGCAAGTCTAATGTTTACATTTTTGAGATGAATGAGTTAGTGAATCAAGATGTAAAGTGTCTTGCGGCAATTGATGAAAATCCTTGGATTTGGCACAAGAGACTTGGACATGCAAATATGGAGCTAATCTCAAAATTGTCTAAGAAGAATCTTGTGAAAGGGCTACCTAACTTGCACTTCATAAAAGATACAATTTGTGAGGATTGTGCCAAAGGTAAACAAACAAAGTCTTCTTTCAAATCCATCCATGAGGTATCGACTTCTAAACCCTTGCAATTACTTCATCTTGATTTATTTGGTCCTATGCGTGTTACCTCTCTTGGAGGCAAACACTATGTTTTTGTGATTATTGATGATTTTTCTCGTTTTACATGGACAATATTTCTTGCTAAGAAAAATGATTGTTTTGAAGAATTTGCTAATCATGTTAAAAGGATTGAAAATGAAAAAGATTTGAAAGTTGTTAAAATAAGAAGTGATCATGGTGGTGAATTTCAAAATGAATTTTTCTATGATTTTTGTGCTCATCATGGTATAACTCATATGTTTTCCGCTCCTAGAACACCACAACAAAATGGTGTTGTTGAACGGAAAAATCGCACCATACAAGAGATGGCACGCACTATGCTTAATTCTTTTGATTTGCCAAAATATTTTTGGGCGGAAGCCGTCAATACGGCTTGCCATGTTTTAAATCGTGTTTTGATTAGACCAAAGCTTAAGAAAACCCCTTATGAACTTTATTATGGAAAAACTCCTTTCATTGGTTATTTTTGTGTCTTTGGTTGCAAATGTTTTATTTTAAATACAAAAGATCACCATGATAAATTTGATTCCAAAATTGATGTTGGTATTTTCTTGGGTTATGCACCTCGAAGTAAGGCTTATAGGGTCTTCAATAAACGAAGCCTCATTGTTGAAGAGTCTATAAACGTTACTTTTGATGAGACTAATGTTGGCTCTCAAGTTGTGTTGCCTAGGAAAGATGATGATGATGATATTGAGGGAGGATTGGACTTGTTGCAAATCAATGACACTCCCTCTATAGAAGTTCAAAAGGATGTAGATAGCACCAATGCTAAAGAACAAGTTGAACCACCTAAAGCTTGGAAATTCACATCAAACCATCCAAAGGAACAAATCGTTGGAAGCCCTTCAAAAGGAGTTATAACTCGCTCAAAAGCCTTGAGTGAATGTGGTTGTTTGCGTCAAAAGTTGGTTTTGCTGTGGAATTCATTATATCTTCAGTCGATTACAATAAATTCAAAAAAAAGAGATAGCCTTTTTATAAGACTTCTTTTACACAAAAAAATGAAAAGTTGTTTGGATCACTGCTTTCGTGGGATCTTTGCCTGTGCCGGGAGCGCTTTGACTCGTGGACCACCAAATCACAGATTCTGATTGAATCGTGAGGGGTTTATGATTCTGACTTCGTTTATCGAAGTGAGAACTTGAAACGATATCTTATCGAGGTAAGATAGTCGTTCTTCTTGAAATCAAGTCAAAGCTCAATTCCAAGGAGTTGCCGGAAGATCAAGAACTCTGCTCGCTCTCTGCTCTCTCTGCTCTGAAGTGCTCAAAATGATCAGCCCCCCTTTCAAAAATGGCCTTCGGGGGGTATTTATAGCCTCTATGAACTGCTGGCGGAAAACAGGCTCGCGAGACAGCATTTGCTGTCTCGGTTATAATTTCTTCCTTAAAAACAGCCCAGTAATAATAATCTTCAAGATTCTTAGTGAGCCACCTATACCACTGTAAAGCTTCATCCCTTAAGTAGAAAGAACAGACCTTAACCCATTCATCCTCTTTAATCTCATAATATTCAAAGATCTGCTCAGTTTGTTCTAGCCAAGCTATAACATTCTCAGATCCAGAGAAAGAGGGGAAATCCAATCGTAATGACTTGGGTTGGACTAGTTTTTGATTGCTAAAGAAAGAATTTCTTTGAGTTGAGGAATTACCAAAGCTGTAAACAGGTGGAAATTCGCCCATGAATTCAGCAACCCTTCGATGTGGAGGAAGGTATCCAGTACCATGGCCACTCTTGCTAGATTCGCCAGCTGCTGAGAGTGAATTATCCCTATTCCCTCTTGTTCCAGTGCCCAGAACTCTTTGATCAGGGTTCTTGAGATTCTTGATCTCCTGCATCATGAATTCCATTTTGGAAGAGAATTCACCCATCTGTGCTGACAGTTTCTGAATGTTATCATCCTGTTGCTGACGAGAGGAACTGATTTGCATGACTGCATCCTCTAATCTAGTGAATCTTTCATCGGTAGTAACTTCTTCAGCATCAGCTTCTTCCTGATCGTTCAAGAAATCATCAGCTCCAGCTTCGATTTCTTGTTGCTCTGATACCATTTGTGAGGTTCTTGAACCCCGATTCATCTTTCTGAGCCCATCTCTGGCCATGACTGAGAGTTTTGGAGAACTTGAGAAGAAGTTGACAGAGAATGAAGATAAATTTGAGAGAGAATTGTGAATATCAGTTGTAATTGGAAGGAGAATGGAAGATTTTTATTATCCAACAACCTGAGTATTTTCCTTTACATCTTCCCATTTATACAAGTTCAATTCCCTTCCGTGCACGTGCACCAACAGTACCTTTGCATAACAGAAATAACAGAAAAACAGCAAACAGCAAAGAAACAGCAAACAATGAAAAACAGCAAACAGCCACTACTAGTATTTATTACAAGTTCTGGAACTCTGAAAGTTTTGCATAAAACTCCCTTGTCAGTTCAACCCTTGCGTATCAGTCCAACCACTTCTTCATTCTTCGACTGCACCCTCAGGTTGATTCAATTCCAGCTGTCTTAACCTTTGCTCCTGACAGACTATAATTCAACTGAAGAGGGAAGAACAAGTGCACTTTCAGAAGTGTCTATGTTTCTTTCTAACAGAAATTGATTAAGAATCAGCATGTGAATTGGTTTCCTTTTGGTTAAGTTTTTTGTTTACGGTGTGAATTGCAGATAACCCCCTCATCCATACCTTAGAGGGGGTTTTCTGCGACTTATTCTTCTTACAATAAGAATTTAGGGTGGAGGGATGACGCTGATAATGGCACGTATAGATGAGAGGGGGTAATCTGCAAGTTACTCTTGATTTTAATTCTGTGTAAAAATGCCATTTTTATGTGAAAAAAAAAATTACAGAATCAAAGATGGCCATCGAGTAGTTGATGTTTTTTCTATAGTTGATACGAGATAAATCTTCCTTGTTTTGATTTTGCAAAACTGCTTAGTTATTTTAGACTTACCATGACCCTTAGATTATTCTGGTGTCGGTTCGTATGCATAATTCCAGCCCCATTATTTCCTCTACTGTTGGCATCCTAACTCTACTGGGATGGGATGTTCATTTTGCTGAACAGGGGGTAGTTGTGGTGAGATAATCTACTTTGGAACAGTTAGGTTGAATATTGATCAGAGTCTTTTTAGAATTTGTTTTCTCTGTTTGAATTGAGAAAAGGGTAACAGTTAGGTTGAATATTGATCAGAGTCTTTTTAGAATTTGTTTTCTCTGTTTGAATTGAGAAAAGGGGCTTGATAGAGTTGGAAAGACATGGGAGAACAAGTGAGAGAAGAGATAGCGACTGATTGGAAGAGATGAATTCTTTTTGTATGTTTCAATCCATATTTCTGCTTGCTTGATAATTTTTCAGTCGAGCTGTAAGGTTTGAAAATTTAATTCTAAACACTAAACAGAACAGCGAAAACACACTGATGGAAGGTTGTTCGTGAAACATTGAAATTTCCAAAAATTATTGGCAAGTGACAAATTTCTTTCAAGTATTTATTTTCTTAAATTTCTCGCTGCACCCACAATCAAAACTTAAAAAGCTTTTTCTTAGATCACCTTTTTCTTTTCAACTCCTTCATCTTGTGTCTCTATAGTTAATCCACAATATTTCTTTTTTGAACATTGATGCTTAACTGTTTCAGAATTTACATACGTCTTTCTTTCCAAAGAATTTCCTCTTAGTTGAGTTTAGGTTCTCTTATAGCCTAAGCTCTTGACAAGACAAAGAATTTCCTCTTAGTTGAGTTTAGGTTCTCTTATAGCCTAAGCTCTTGACAAGACCTAAATTTTATTTAGATACATTAATTTTCTCTTATAGCCTAAGCTCTTGACAAGACCTAAATTTTATTTAGATACATTAATTAATGAAATACTCACATTACATTATGAAAATGCTTCAAGTAATTTAGCGAGCACTGAGTCCATGAAGTAGTGGTGGGAGCTAAACTTAATAAAATATTTCGTAGAATCAAGTGCAATATGAGAACTTGGATTTAGCACAATTGATCAGGAAATATAGGCTGCTTCTCCAATTATAGAACTTGGATGCATAATATGTACGGGTGTGTGCGGATCCACATATATCTGATCCAATCTGGGTCCATATCCAAATCGGATGCAGATTTGGATATTAAAATCCTAAACTGGTGGGACACAGATACAGATTCGGATATCATATAATGCTCTAAATTGAATACTTTTTCGAATACGGTATTGTTCCAGATACTGGATTCGGATATCTGCATATTCAGTGAGAATGTGAACAGGTGTTTTAACGTACTGCCAGCCTGCATACGCACTTAACTATTTCAAGCCCTTGTGATTTCATAGCTTTACTGACAAGCGCACAATCTGCACAGTTTCCAAGTTATTAGCTAAAGAGCACACAGACCATACACTTACCAAGTTCCCAACAATATATAATCATATTGTATAAGATGGCTATCCGGGGCTTTGTTACCTATTTGCGTTTAGACTTTAGCTTTATATGCAAATCAATTTTTTTCTAAAGTGATCTATTTTTTTTAAGGAAAGAACTTTATCTTTCTACACATCCAGTTTCTCAAATAATATTGAGCTGGTAAAACTTTTTCTATCATGTACGCAAAACTGTTCATTTTAAATTTCCTTATAATAGTGCTACAATTATGTTGATATGCAGTGTTTTGGAGTGCTCCTTTCTGACTTCAAACTTGATTCACTTATTAGATACTTGGGTAATACCAAAATCTAAATGACACAAATTCAGACCATAAAGACAGCTTAATATTTGTAGGGAATCTCTTACAATGTTCAAGTTATCTTATTCAATTTAGTGAAAAATGAATAATTAAATATTTTTTTGTTCTTATAACTGTATCTTATCTGTTTTGTGCTCATGTTCGAATCATATCTGTAACTGTTTCTATCATATACTATCTATATCAGTTTTCAATTATGGCAGATATGGATATATGTATTTTCTTGCTGAAGCATATCTTGTGTCCATAACTGTATTCGTGACTCATATGTGGATACAGATGTGGTAAGTATCATATCCAAACCCATGCAGTTTAAACCCATAACAAGATCACATGTTGATCTGATGATTGAAAAGATAGTCTTGATGATTGAAAAGATAGTCTCGAAGTAGTTATTTGTGAATGATCAAAAGTAAGCTTCTTCATGTAAAGTGCTAAACATAGGGGGTAACTAGGAGTTGCGAGTGAGAAAACTGGTTAAACTTAAAGAGAGTGTTAAGTATTAACAAATGTTTAGTTTTACGAGCTAGAAGTAGAAGTGGCCCTTTAAACATTTGATTTCCTTTTTCGCATCTAAATTCTTTGACAATATTAATGGGGTTGGATAATCACTTTAAGTATCTATTATTAAGTTGCATGCTAGGGTTTCAGGTGTTACTGAAGCACCCAAGTCAGCCTTTCTAGAGTGTTTAGGATTGTAGCTTTAACTTTGTTCTTACGTTGTTACTTAACTTCTATGTCCATGCTGATATTATTCCATAAATCTATCACACTTGATATTTTGAGAAATAATAATTTGGTAAAGCTTTCAGCCTCTTGTGTCAACTAAACTTGCTATCCATAGTCACAGGCTTATCAAATTGTACCTTTTCTTGTTTATTGTTGTAGACTGTCACAGATGAATATGATGAGCCAGTGACAGGTGAGATCCTTGTCAAGAACAGCTTGGACTTGGTCAGTAAAAACAAGAAACCTATGGTGTATGATACTGATTGTCAAAAGGAAGTGCAGGTGTGCAGATATACTTATATCTTTCGTCATTTATGGACTTGTACTATTGTAGTACTTTTTTTGACATGGTTATATGATATCTAAAATCTCTCTTGCAGGATGCTTCTTCGGAAGATTTTATGAGTTCTAGTATTGATAATGTCTTGGAATCTGATGCCTTGGAAGAGGCTCAGAACAGTGCGGAACCAGATGCTGAAGTTTCTAATTCTAACCTTTCTGATTTATATGATGATTATTATGAAAATGAAGATGAAAATGAAGATGAATATTATGCCTACGATGATGACATGATTGATAATGACTACAATTATGGCCTGGCAGCTAAATTTGATGATTTGGATCTACCACCAGGGGTGGAGGCTACTGTTCCTTGGTTAGACAAACCTGCGTCTGAGAGCCAAAGGAAAGACAAGAACATTGTTTTAGAGGAGAACACTGACGTAAGATATAAATCTTTTAAACAATTTGATACTGTGGAAGATTACTCAGATCATCACTATGCAGCGGAAGATAAGGACGTGAAAAAGGTATATCTCGCAATTTATTACTCATCTTCACATTATTTTATTAATTGAAATTCTCAATTTCCTAACTATGTGATGCTTGTTAATGGGCGGCGCCGAAAAGATTTGATGAAGAAGATTCAGCAGGAGTGGAAGATCTTGAATGATTTACCGTGGTAGTGATTTTCCTCTTTCTGAATCTGATTTAGTTAGTATGGATTAGCAGTATTTCCAGTTTTGTTTGTGTTAATGTTAATGTTAAAAAAAGACACTAAATTGCAGTTTCTTTTACTACACCATACAGCAATAACATTTGTTGGTTCTTTCACCCATAAATCATGTGTAAAATGAATTATGACTAGTATATTTTAAAAGTTAATTGGGAATAGAAGAGTTTCAAAAGAAGTGGGATGTAATCAGTATATGCTTAGAAGTAGCTTGCGTTATCACAAAATTTACTCTGAAGAGCAGGTAAATGACCTAGATTCTTAATATACTTGGCATTTTAAGAAATGTTGGTAATAACCTCCTCCAAAAGTTTTCTTTCACCATTTTTGTGCATTTAGCCTGTATCATAATCAGTGTGTCAGTGTATGTTTTTTGATTTGCATATAAACCATAAAGTTCAGAACACGATGGATGCAGAGTGCTTCT